ACACGCTGGGATCACATGACCCCAGACAGGTGTTCATCCAACCTCTTTTTGAATTTACCCAAGGTAGGAGCGAGGACCACTTCCCTAGGAAGTTGGTTCCAGATCCTAGCCACCCTAACAGTGAAATAGTGCCTCCTAATCTCTAACCTGAACCTATTCTCCAGCAGCTTCTGGCCATTGTTCCTCGTCAACCCAGGTGCTGCTGGGGGGGAATAGGACCCTTCCTATTTGCTGCTGAGCTCCCCTAACGAGTTTGTAGGCAGCCACCAGCCTCTGTTTGCTGAGGCTGAACAGGTTCAGGTCCCTCAGCTTCTCCTCATAGGGCCTGCCCTGTTGCCCTCCAACCAAGCGGGTGGCCCTCCTCTGAACCCTGTCAATGCTAGCCACATCCTTCTTAAAGTGCGGTGCCCAGAACTGGACGCAGTACTCCAGTTGAGGCCGGACCAATGTCGCATAGAGGGGGAGGATCACCTCTCTGGACCGGCTTGAGATACATCTTTGGATGCATGACAAGGTGCAGTTGACTTTGCTGGCTGCGGTCTGGCATTGACGGCTCGTGTTCATCTTGGAGTCAATAACGACTCCGAGATCCCTTTCTGCCTCTGTGCTCACAAGGGGGGAGCTCCCCAACTTGTATGTATACTGTAGATTCCTTCTCAGGTGCAGCACCCTGCACTTATCCACATTGAAGCCCATCCTATTACCATCTGCCCACTTCTGTAGCCTGTCTAAATCGAATTGCAGCCTAGTGTCAAGAGCATTCTGCCCTGCTGTGGGCTCTCAGTTCTTTGCAGCAGAAGAATTCCTCCATTATTTTTCTGTGGTCAAAGACAAGCGAATGCTTAAAGCTGGCATTTTCCAAGGATGTCCTGAGTCTACCAAGGGGCTCCTAAAAAGGCTGAGAACCACTGTCTTAGACAGATCTGACAGAATATTTTAAAACCCAGCCTAGCTTTTGTCCTGAATATTTTATTGTAGCTGCGAACAGCTGCAAACTGTAGCTGCAAATTGACTGCTCCAATTTAAATGTCTATATATATGACAATTATTGTGGAATAAGATAAAGTGTGAACTTAAAATGCAATAATACCACAAGTGGACACGGCTATGTTGGAATGAGCATTTGTGTATGTTATGGGGAAGCTTCTGCTAGAACTATGGCAGCAGGGTCCCCTGCTGTAAAGGGAGCATGCTGCGGCGGGAGTTTCCTGCTGTTAGTTACCCAGGTCCTTGACCAGAAGAAGCTTGGCTGATAGGAGTCTTGCTGGAACAGTTACACTAGCTCTGGAGAATGACCTTTTCACTCCCCAGTTGCCATAACTAAAGCAGCAAACTTCTTAACATAGACTAAGCCTCTGAATGTCTTTTCACTAGTTTAGTTTAATCCATTTTCAGGGTCAATAAAGCAAATGCACAAAAAGCTGTTCTTGTTCTGGAATAAGGCTATCTACAGATGAAGTTTATTTCTGGCACAGAAATATCTCCTGTTGAAAATCTCCCCCCCCAGAGGACTTCAGTTTTTTTGTCTTCAAACGAGATCTTATCTTTCAACACCCCCATTACATTATTTTGCACTGAGAAAGGTTTAACAAGAGACTGCTTTGTTTTTGGTGAGAAAGATGCAAATAGCTGTTTTATCTAAGAGCATTGGCATACACTCTTTTTTTCGCTTCTCGTGTTGTAGAATTTAGATCAGATGGTCCATGGTCAAACCAATTGCAGCTAACGTAGCTGAAACCATATTTAGCATTCATTTCACATTAATGGGTCACGTCTCTGCCCCTCAGTGCCATGACCTGACTGAGAAATTTGAGACAGCAGCAGGTAGGTGGCACAGACAGTATTACCAGTTAAAAATGTTATGAAGGTTTATCTTGCCCCAATCTGTTCAATGGTGGGAACTGCAGCCTGTTCT